AAAGGGGTTAGAAGAACTCTGCTGTGAGTCAAACCTGCACATACTATTTTTCAAATCCATGGTGGGATACTTGATGAAAAGTGCTCTGGACTCCCCACAACACTGCCAATGAGATGACCGAATTTGTGGATTTCACACTTTGACTGTTAAAACTGTGTTGAGTAAATATGTTCTACCCGGGTGAAACGAAAAAGATAAGATCAGCGAGGAAACAACACTCTGAACTGAAGCACCAACAGCAAATGCTCACTCTCCATGATGCTCAGGGAAAATTATGCCCATGTTTATGCCTCTTATCACCCCAATCATTGTTCTCATTTCTTAAGATTAGATCTGCAGTTTGTACTGAAGAATGACTAATACTCTCTTCTGATCATGTATAATTTTGAACTGAATATCACAGTAAAATTTATTTGGAATACAGGCAGCAAGGAATGAAGGAACTAAAGCTGCCCCAAATATTTCCTCTTAACAGAATTGCAGAAATCCTGTATGGTATGCCACTTATCCTATTTCATGAAGTGTGAAGCTGAGTGTCAGATGGGCAACATTACAAACCAATCTCATTTCTCTTACAAAAAAACATACACATTACAAATCACCTTCAGAAACTGCTCAAGGAAAGCAAATTCATATTCTACTGGAGGTTTTCTTGAGGGGAAGGGATTGATATTATCCTCGTAAGGTAAATAGATTTAAAAATTTCAAATTTCAGTTCTTAATTGCTAGAAGTTCTCAAATACAGTGCCAGTATGTGCAATAAAAAGGGAATGGAGGTGGGAGTTGAGGATGAGAGGGAATTCATTCTCTTAGTGAATATCACGTGCTACTTGTAAGACAATTGCTAAAAATTGCTAAAAATCTCCAGTAATCTCTCCACATAAGCCACTAGAGCTTATTTCCTAAATCTTCTCCTTGAAGACTTGCCCCTTGCTTTTTTGCCCTGAAAAACAGGCCTGGCTGTCACCATGGGTATTTCTTCCTCTGCACTGGAGCTACTATGTCCTCTTTCGTCCTGCAAGGGTCCAACTGCTGCGCTGGTTTTGTGACTTCCCAGTTCAGCTTTGAGTACCTTTGAGGTTTTCCCCCCTTCGCGCCTATCGGAGGCTTCCTCCTCCAAATCTTCAGAGGAGTCACTGGAGGCTTCTGAAAGCTGCACCTCCCCCATGAAGCCTCCAGCTAAGGAGCTCGGCTGTGTGGCCAGGGGGCACTTTTTCCTCTTGCCCTGCCAGCCTGGGACTCCATCCATGCCTTGGTCCGCACCTTGGCCAGGATGCTTTCCTTTCCCCTGCTTAAATTCTTGCTCCATGGCTGCAGTTGCTTCTGAGGCTTCCTGCTCCTCTTCTTCTTTCTCTTTTCTCCTCATACAAGTCACAGCCCTGCGGAGCCTTTGACTCTTGATGGCTTGTTTCTCTTGCTGTGCTAATCGGAAGTAGGAGTCAATACGGAGCTGGGTCTACAAAGGAAACAAGAGAATCCCCCCAAGAGACATTGGGGAAAATTACAAAACGCTCTTAACAGCAATTAACCCAATCAGGTCTGCAACAAAATGGTGCAGTATGTGCCCACCCTCCAAAAGGAGCCTGCCACCAGTCACGCAGTTCTGAGATTCTATAAGCCACGAGAGGCTCGCTGAAGAGCAGTTAGTGAGGATTCCATGAAATTTCTGGGCGCAAATAGGTTGCACATGGCCAAAGTCATGCAACCAAATCTGCTGAATGCAAGGGTGCAGCTTACATGGACTTGACCACCACCACGTGGCAATGGTTCTCCTTCCACGACATGAAGCAAGCCTGACATTTTGGAGATGCTTCACCTCTCAAGAGATTTCCAGGCATCTGCAAAGGCCAGGACTGTGAGCCTTTGCAGCGGTATAGCTAGCAGTCATTCCATGTGGGTAGTTCCTCTCACTGCCCAACCCTCCTCTGAGAAATGCACCGACTTACTGTGGAGCATTGGACATGAGAGGAGGAAGCAGCCTGGAAGAGCTCTTTTGTCTACACAACATTAAGACTTGAACTCTGTTATTAAAATTTACGCTCAGGTATTATGCACTGCCAAGTGGCCAATTATGCTTTGAAAATAATTTCTAGTGTGTGGGAAGAATCTCATCATTCTAGTCACCTACAGAGAGAGTCCTCTTGCCATCTCCTGCATGTAAGCCATTAAGAAGACTGCAGAATAAACGTGACTCTGTCTTGAGTGTTCACCTGCCTTTACCATCTTTAACTCACAAGATCTTACAATTCAAACTATTTGAAAGCTGAGTAATTTTGACCTCATACCTGGATCCACATCTCTTCTTAAAAGCTAAGAAGCTTTACTGTTGTTATTCCTCTATGTCTGACCCTAGACAGAGCAAGGATCACATGTTCCTGCCTCTTGCCCTCTCCTCCTCCCTCAGTCCTCCTGCAGTATCCCACAGATATATTCAGGAATAGTTTAAAATTCATCACCTGCCTTCCAGAGATGACTTTCAATAATGCTATGTTTTCACAGTGATGCAATTTACACGTGATTATTTAAGTTCATTATCCCTATTTGGTTAAGCCAATGAGATGAGCCAATCTCATTTTTCTGTTCAAGATGGATTTAAATATGTAGGTAGCCTTGACATATCCAAAGCAATTGTAAGGCAATACTTCATCAGCACAACAAATGCACACTTTTGTGCGTCAGTAATACCTGTTGAGCATTCATCTGTTTCAGGACAGGCAATAAGACATCATCTGTTTTCAACTTAGTCCAACCAAAATGACTCTGGCAAAATGTGTAAGCAGTTAAGGTTCACCATCAACGCCGCAAATGAAAGAAAACCAAGCATGAAGGCAAGTTTGTTAAAGCAGCACATGAGATATCTTTGCAGGGAAAAAGCCAGGGTATAAATAGAATAAATAATTTCTATGTATTCTATTTATTTATTAGAATAAATAAGGAAATGCAACGGGGGCAAAGGGAAGGATTTTATAAATCACTAAAAGCTATACAGAGGAGCATGCTAAGTCTTAAAAGCATAAAAATTAATAAATATTTTTAAAAGACTCCAATGGCTTTTATGGGGGGTATGTTTTAAAACAGACAACAAAATACTTAGCAAAGTAAAGACTTTGCAGTTCTAGTCTCTTTTTATCTAGCATATAGTATATATTGAAAGTATATGGCACAACTAATTAACTACTGCTATATTTCAAATAGATACAAGTCAAATGCTAACCATTACAGACTGAGCTTTCAGATTTAACTTACACCGAGCACAGAAATATAACACACCAAGCAAGCACAAAGCAGTAGTTTGATTAGCTGCTTTTAAATGCTGCTTGTGTTTAGAGAGAGATTTCTTTTCCCTGCTCCCCACCGTTTTACCAAGCATGAGAACTGTACGCTTTCAATGAGGGCCACAAGAAAGCGCCCCACTAGTGCGTCAGTCACCTATACAGCCACTTCTAGTGGAGCAGCTTTCCTTTTCAAACTATAGCCTCGGAGAAAATGGAGAAAAAAGGATATTCCCTGATCTGTTCCAAGTCAGGTCTTCCCCAAACAAATGACCCTTTTGATTCGTCCACCACAGGATGCAGGTAAGCTTCCGCTACCGCAGGATCTGGGAAGCCAGGTGCAAGCAGCAATTGCCGCAATTTTTTCTTCACTTTAGTATCATATGGGTTGGGCCGTGTCTTCGTGCTCTTCTGAGCCTCAGTCCACCATTCCCTCAAAAAATACAAATAAAAATAAAGTAAAGAACACATGTTTTAACGTCTCTCTCTCTCTCATATATATAAGAAAAGCACTGTTGATCAGAGCTAGGGCTCATCCTGAACAGTGTTCTGTTCTCACAGTGGTCGGCTAGGAGCCCACAGGTTCTCACAAGCAAGACATGAATGGAATTCGCCCTTCTATTCACAGTCCCCAGCAACTAGCACTGGAAGGCATACTGTTGCCAATACTGGAGGTAATATAGAGACACCACAACTAGAGCATAGTAATTACAAGAAAAATCCCCAAGGCTGTGCATGCTTTTGAGTTATGAGAACCATTCTACATTTGCAAAAGCTAGGCATCCCAGTTCATAATGCTTCAAAGCTGGAGACTAGAAAAAGCAAAAAGGAAAAAGCAAGTTAGAAATCAGAAGGTGACAAACAGAACTGCCTACCTGAGACTGAAGAGAGGTTCCATTCCTCGTCCAGGGAATTCATTTAAGATCTCCATAGCTGTTACATAACCAACATTAGGAATGCCCTCTGCGTAATCGCTGCCAAGCAGATAGGCTAAATTAATTAACTTGTTCCGATCCAAGCCTGAAGGAAAGCACACGTGATAGAATTTGTAAGATCGTACTTCAAAACAAGACGTTACCTTTGTTAATAACACAGGGTCACAGCTCTGTAGCAGAATGCATGTTCTGACTGCATCAAATGTAAAGCCGTGTTCACAATCTTTTTAACACATGGGTAGCAGAAAGATTGTGGAGAGCAAGATTAGATTGCTGCAGTCCATCAAGAAAAGCCCACTGGTAGGAACTGTTATGATACATCTTCATATCTTCCCAGATATCCCCCAAAAGCAGATACTGATAGCATGCATAAAAGCAAGAGGGATTCAAAAGAGCAGTGGTAACAATGGACATATTTGGAGCAAAGTCTGCCCCACCCATGGGCTCAAAGCAGGTAGCAGTAACTGTGCTATCCTATCCATGGGCAGCAAACTCTACTTTGAAGTTTATTAATGCAACACTATTAAGGCCCAAAGTACAGGCTGATAGGCATTAATCCTAGAAGGCTGACAGGTTTTCAGTATGTTCTGACTAAAATGTTGCCATCTAAGGTTATTTCTAGCCACCGTTACAATTCTGAACAGACACGATTCAATCCCAAACTTGGGAGGAAAACCATCACTCCTTGAACTCTATCTTGGAAAACCTAGTATTAATTGAAAGGTCAACAGCAGCAGCCTTAAAGATCAAACCAGTCATAAATCATCTCGAAAGGGAAAGTCACAGCATGTTTCCATGCATGTCTCCTCAGAAGTCAGTCCTGATGAACTGAATGGCATTTGTCCAAGTAAGATTGCACAGAATTACAGAGAAATGCATGTATAAACATGCATAGGATTGCAGCCCAAGTTGACAGACTTCAAAAAATAAAAAGGGAGGCAAATGAAGAAACAAAGAGATCCTAACAAAATATATTTGGCAATGTATGACTGACTGTGAAACTAATATCCTAGAAAAATCTTTCCTTGCATATTGAAATGAAAAATTTCTCTGTTTAAATGAGAATATATTTGAAAAAGTATAGATGAATTCACGATTCAAAAGTTCTACATGATGTCTTACCTAATTGATTCTGGAAGTCAATGAACTGATAATACTCCACATACTTGTTTTGACTGAAGAAGTTTTTATACACATGCCGTCCTCCAAACAGCCAAATATCACTATCATCTGTGATTGTCCCCGATGTCTGATCTGTGAGGTCCAAGACAGCACACTGAGCCTCTGCTTCCATAGGAGCTTCAATGTACGGAATGCCAAAGAGGCGCAGAAGTTCCTGTAGTGAATGGGAAACTGCTCTTTAAACCCCTAGCTATTCTCATGCAAGAGTCCATTTGCAAAACACAACTGCAAGTAGGAATGAATTAGGGAAGGAAAACTTGGACAGATCTCTTGAACTCCTCTGCTCAGCTATCCATCATAATAATTACTAAGGGAAAAAAATCTACAGAGGTATAAAATTCAACAGAATGTGTCATGCAGGTAGTATAGTTCAATTTATACCTTTGGATGGGTTACAATTTACAAATGATGCCAAATATAGGGGTTTCTGGTACCTGAACTGTTCTTAAGAGACAGAAACAGTTCAATCCTATTCATGCTTGGTCAGAAGTTAGTCCCACTGAATTCAATAAGAATTATACCAGAGGAAGTACGTGGAGGATTGCAATCTAAGTGACTAGATGAAGCGCAGCCTCAATTTAACCTTTAACAAGTCCCAATTACAGATATCTATGTGAGCTATGACTGTATGAGCCATGCAAATTAATCCTCTGCCAAACCAGTGTTTCTCATCTGCATCTTCCAAGTCTGAATCTGCTGTATTAGCAGATAGTGACAAGTCACTTAACCCTGGCTTTGTATGGGATGATGAGGTTATTCCTAGTTTTCAGTGAACATGAACATTTTTTTTCCTTTTTCCCAAATGCACATTCTGGCACAATAATAAATGAATAGCTGGCTTTGCTACTGTTAATTCACTTTCTAGTGCAGTCACTGAAAAAGCTACATTTGATCTATTTGTACAGGAAAATGTATAAACAGACATATAACAAATGTGTTTTCTGAACTTTTTAAGGCAATGTATCTAT